TAATTGTATATCATAACGGCTGCTATTTGACCAGACACAGATATTGATTTTTTTTTAACAATATATAGACAGAACTCTTTATGCTACAACAAAGAGCACCACTCAGAAAAAAAGAACAGACTATAATTGTCTATGGCAAATAACTTTTAATCTTTGATTTTTTTTTTAAATTACAAGGATCCTTATATTTTTGTGAAAGAAATTAATTTAAAAAAAAACTAAGATAATAAAGAGCAGAAAATGAATATATTTATAAAATTTCTTTGCAGACAGAAAAACTCTATTAAATTCTAATATGGAAAACTCCATTCATTAGAGTTAATATGTATTCACTTGTGCGTTAATATACAATTAGAAAAATGTAGGACTGATTAAAAAACTTAAAAACACTTCCTAAATTATGAATTGTACACCTGAACTTTTATATATCAAATATTTTAAAACTGAACAGAACAATCTTAAATCATTAAAATAAATATTTGTCAAATTATTTCATTTTCAATTGGATTTTTTTTTTTTTTTATTATTAAAATAGTATTTAAAAAGGCAAATATGTATTAGATTTAAAATAAATATTTAAACAAGATTTATTTAAGATATATAAGGGAATGCAGAAAAGATATCAGTCTAACCAAGAATATTCCAAAAACACAAAAAATCGGATATTTTACCATTTGGTCAGATTTTGATTGGGTTGGCAAGAAGACTTTAGCACTCCTTCATCTACATATTACTTATGTATCAATTAGATTACATTCCATCTTATATGATTCTTGAGATTTAATGTGATGTGCCAGAAAGTTAGAAAATTGATTTTCAAGTTACTAGTAATGAAACATTTTTTTTTTATTAGCTTTCCTGTAAAGCAATCTTTATTTATTGAAAAATATCAATCATCATAGGAAAAGGAGAAATTTTGTGTGTGGGAAGTCAGAGATTGGGTGTAATTAATGATTTACTGACCAAAATGGGAAATTTAAATGATTTTTTTCTTTACACTATTGTTCAGACTGTTGTCCTCATCTTTACTGTCACAATGTTTCAGCCATTGTATGCTCTAGCCTTCTTCAGGTGATATTTTCTGAATTTTGAACCGAACACAAAATAGTCAATCTGTATGTTGGTGTTTCTGAAGATTGGTTTAGATGACATTTGTATAGACACTCTTCCCAAGTTTATTTCCTGAAATGGGTTGACATAACATTCACATTCCTGGGTCGCTCAGTAAAGTCACTGAAAATCTGTTCCATTTCCTTCACCCACTGCTTGCAAATATTGTGACAGGGATTGGTAAAGATCAAGTTTCTCCACCCCCAAAATTTGAATATAGGAACCAGTAATACAGAGAGCTAGAGAAAAACAACAATAATAATTGTAACATGAGCTCTGAAAAAAAAAAAAAAAAAAAAAAAAAGTCAAATTCAACAATTTCATAATCAAACCAGCCATTACTTTCAAAATCAGTTTGAATTTATGCTGTGAAGCAGTTACATGGCTGTAAATGTGTTAACATTCTGATGCAGCAATTATGTAACTTCAAAAATTTTATCAAGTCACCCATTACTTTCAAGATCAGTTTGAATTTATGTTAAGACTCCCGACATACTTGTGAGCAAGTCACCAGTGGACACCTCCTCCTTTCTTGTAATCGGCACCTTCACGCAATTTAAGAATGAAGTCCTCTTCATTACCCACTGCTACAAATAGCCATATTGACTTATCCAAAGTGTTCCATATTAGTCAGTTTAGTTACAATATTGTTCTGTCTAATGCCAACAAAAGAATTAGCTGAACTCAAGTGGGAAGAATAAAAAACACAGAAGACAGCTCTATCTAAAGAAAATCCAATTTTTCTACCAAGTCCTAAGGCGCAGCAAATCAAGTCGTACAGACTGCATTCTTTGCAATAGCTATGTCAATTTCGAAAACATGTATGGTGTATGCATTGTATGCTAACACACAAAATAAAGGTGATTGCTTTTGCAATCAATTTGCAATTCTCATCTATGAACAGCAGGGCAACAACAAACTGTAGGAAAAGAACTTGATCTTTGCAAATCTCTGTCACAATATTTGCAAGAGGTAAGTATGTTATATGCCAGCCCATTTCAGGAAATAAACATGGGAAGAACATCTACACAAATGTCATCAAGCCAATCTTCAGAAATGACAGTATACAGATTGACTATTCTGTATTCAATTCAAAATTCAAAAAATATCACCTGAAGAAGGCTGGAATGAACAACAGCCAAAACATTGTGAATGCGACAAAGATCAGAACAACAGTCTAAATAGTTACAATATCTTATCTCAGAAATATAGACAGATTTTTTCTTAAGAGAAAGTGTAAAACTATGAGACACCATGTGAAATGGTGCAGCTATCTCAAAGCCAATTTCTACTGATACCAAAATAGTTAAATTGTTGAATTTAAAAATATCTATATAATCTTGCAGTTATCTAAATTGTGTACATTTGTAATTATTTCCACTAAGCTATTTTTGTAGGGTACAAGGATCATTTTACAATTTAGAAATCCATATTGAATATTTGCTTATATTAGCTGCAAAAGCTAAAGTAGTATTCAAATGTAAATATCTTTATTACTTGACAAACAGAAAGTTAACAATCATTTAGATTTATATATAAATAAATTTTATATATATATATATATGATTAATGTGAGTAAAATTGTCACTTAGCTGATTGATGTTACCTTCAGCATCACACCTTCAGAGTGTGGGTGTGACACTTTGATCAACAGATAACTCACATTGATCTGAGGTAAAAGTGGTAACCCATATATAAATAATCCCATCATTTTCTGTGTGTATATATATATATATATATATATATATATATATATATATATATATGTGTGTGTGTGTGCATATGTATGAACATGTGTCTAGTTCTCATGCTATCACACTTTCCAGACAGCTTGGCGTGTTACCCTCATTTTCTGTTCTCTCTGTACCAAGAATCTGTTTGAACTACCATGCCAACTGCTTTACTCTATTTTAAAAAAAAAAATAACAGTTGGTGTCTCAAATAATTTTTATCTTTTATATTTCAGTGGTATGATAGTTATCTAGTCTAGTTCAACATGTACTCAATCATGTTTGAAAGGTTTAACCTCTCAAGCTCTATTAGCGCCAGTTAAATTTAAATAATGAATTTTCACCCAACATCCATAATATTTCTGGTAAAACCAAGCAAAACAAATTCATTTGATTGTAGAATTTTAAGAGATGTAAAAGACTAATGTTCGTATGCAATTTTGAAGAATGCAAACAAAACTTTAATAAGTAACTTTAAATGATATTCAAAGTAATAAAATATATTTTCACATTGGATAGCCAAATGTTTGGTTAATTAAGCAAAAACTTGATCCATGATTTTTAACTTTATTTTCAGCAATAACTTTATTGAAAAACATATTTACTATTTGGTTCATCATCTACAATCTTCCAGACAACTTCAGAATTCCATTCAACAAGAAGTTTTGCTTTTTATTTTCAGTGAAGAAAAAAAATCCTGCTCTGGCTACATTTTGCAATGTTTTTCCCCGGCATTAAGAGAATTCCATGACAAAAGTAAATGCTAATCTGAATGTGTAATATCTTTTGAATACAACATACAAGTCAAAACCTCTCAGACAAAATGTAACAATTTGGTTTAATAAAAAAGAAAACAACCATGCTCTAGTGTTATATTGATGGAAATACATTTTTCCCTCTTTATTAACTTCAAATACTTTTCATCAATTGTTATCTGTTGCTCTAACTGAGATCAGTATTTAGTTCAAATCAATTATATAGTCCCCTTCTAGAACTATCTTGACATACACTTGTTTGTGTGAAGTTTTGGTAGTTAGTGGTGGTGGTTTATTTGCTTGCCTCACAAAGAATTATATTCTATGATGCTTTAATGTACTTTTCCTCAATTTGTTTCATACAAAGGAACATATTCCTTACATGTACATAAATTTTTCTAGCATTTTTCTACATTTATGTAACAGCTACATATCAATTAAAATAACCAAGCTGGTGCAAAGGATTTTTCAACAGTTAATTTGGATATTTTGAATGTTGGCTACTTCCAATAATCAATGACTGATTATTCTCATTTCTTTGATATCAAGAAATCTCTAGCCTAAAACTCTACAAACCACTTTTGATTAATCATTCACTATACCTTCTTCATAAAGTGCATAATTTTGCCTTAGAGTTACATTTTTACAGTTTTTAGAAAAGCATAACATGTTGAAAATGTTCTTTCCTTCCATTTTCAGTTAGAATCAATAAACAAAAATAACACCATTTTTAATTTTTTCGATGCATACTGACAGCTGATACAATACTATCAACAATCTTCATAAGTGGAGTATGTTAAAGCTAAAAATTTCTACCATCATTGAATGATAAAATCCCAATACAGTTTAGTGTACAAAATTTGTAAACTTTATGTAAATGTTTCATATATGACACAATTATCTATATAACCTCATCTCCGTAATCTGATTTTTGCATGAGCAAAAAAAAAATGGTAATGTAAATGTAACAATAAGCCTACAGTCTAATAATAAACCAATATTTGTTTTCTTAACAATCTCCTTCCTTGTCAATGCACTTAATTCCATAGTGAATATATTTATGACAGAACACATATTATACAGTGGAAATTTCAGATAAAAAATTCAACTCCTAATGACATTTCAGTCTAGAAATTTATTAGAGTACTGAAATATAAGCTACCTTTCAGCAATATTTTCACTCTAAAATAATTCTCAATTTAGTAGTTCTAGAAAAAACTGTGAAAAAAAGCAAAATTATAACAATGAGGTTGACTTGGAATATCGGTAATTAGTGTCTTAATAAATATTTTCACCCTTTGGCACATGTTATTCTGTTTCATGTTTCTACAATCAAGAAGATTATGATAAATTATGAACAATGTCCTTGGATCTTATGAAAAATAAAGGCAAAATAAATACTGACCAGCGTCATAGTTACGTCCTCATCGGATTCATCAGCAGCAAGAAGGCGATAAGCTTGAGTTATTTTTTTAAATTTCTGAAAGTAACAAGAAAAACAAAAACTAGAATAGATGATGGCAGATTGGAAATATTGGTAGCTTATAGTTGTATCTAAGATTTATAGCATGGAAAAAGGTTTTTTTTTTAAAGATTTTTATTTTGTTTCACAATGACATTCCTTTTTATTCATGTTGGTGACAAAAAAGATACTTTTTTAAAAATGTTTTTTATTAGTATTATGTTTTTTATAACTTAAAAGAGTTTTACTAACACATCTTCAAATCAGTACAAATTATACACACATTTTTTTTTATAAATGCAAAAAGCCTTTGCTATAATATAGGCACACAATTACAGTAAATTTCCATCTTATCTGCTCTTATTACTCTGGTTTCTTTCTTTTCTACAAAATGGTTTCTTTTCATTACAACTGACCAAAAAACTAACGGTTAAATTCCGTTTGAGAAGAACAATAATTAGCTAAAGTTGCATAAAAATATACCTTCTAAACTTCACTTTCTCTCTTGTTAGATATCAATATTCGCATGTGTGCATGTGGAGAGAGAGGGAATTGGTACAGATTATTTAAATAATTATTATGTAAGAATTTCAGTTTAGAGAAAGGTCTGTAACTTAAAAAAAAAAAAATTAATAAAATGGATTATTTTAAAAATTTCATGTGGCTGACCTACAATCAAGCCACTGTATTACATATCAAAATAAAACACACAAAATATATTTCAATATCAAAGGATTTTTTTTTTTTTTGACTAAGATATTTTTCTTCCACTTCATTCTGCACATTATATCCCCCATCCAAATCAAATTTTTATTTGCTTCAGTGTAGTGAAAATAAAACAAGCTTTTCAACTTAAAAAAGAGAGAGAGTTAATTCTTAATTGGAAACAAACTCATTAGAAATTTTAAAATGTATTTTCAAACTTTTACACATATTTCAAATTTTTGGGTAACCTTTTAATTTAAAGTAGGAGTTACACTGAATTATTTTGGAATGCAAAAGTAAAATTTGAACATATAATTTTTCTAATTTTTAATTTTTTTAACTAAAAATATTAAATGTGTGCAAGTCTAGTAGAAAAAAAAACAAAAAAATTTTTGTTTACACCTAATAACAACCAAAATATTTCCTACTGATATTACCCAACCAAATCAAGTTTTTGTTTTCAATATTATATAAAAAGTTATTGTTCAATAAAAAATGCAATATTTTTTAATTAGTATTTTTAATTACAATGACAAAAATTAAATAAAATATAACTGTTACACTGTTTTGCTTCATTATATCTTAAATTTTAAATCAGTTTTTAATTTTATGACCAATATTTAGATCTTTATACCAGAAAAAGCAAGAATATCAGGTCAACATTTTCTCTTATTGTGAGTTATATCAAAATGGTTATCTCAGGCTAAAGTCATGTTGCCTTTATCTAAAACATTGATTAGTCCTTTTTTTTACCAAGGAAAGTGAATAAACAAGTTAATATTTACTGATAAGACACAAATAATGAAGCACTTTTATTTCAGTTAAAGAAATAAACAGACAACATGACACATTATACTTAAAGAACATCCTGAATTGAAATTAACCTAATGCATACAATACAGTTTGAAAGTGAACATTTAACACTATGCACATTTGGAGACATCTCTGCTAAAAGTCTTAAAAAAAAAAAAAAAAAAAAAAAAGGAATTTATTTTTTTAGCAAAGGAGACCCATAGTGCATGCAATGATAATGTTACTATTTTGTATTAGATAGTTAATGTTTAGCTCAGTCTGACTTAAGGTAAAATATTGGTGGGGAATTAATAAGATTGTAATATACCAAGCATCCAAATGACAAATGCTTGCAAGTCTTGGAAATCAACATTCAAAATCCTGACATTTTAGTACTTGGATTCAAATACCAACAGTGCAAGCAAGAAATAACTATTTCTGGCTTTACGTTTGTTTAATTTATTCAACATACAAAAAGTTTTATTTTGTAATATTGCTTAATTGTTAATTTAAAATAACTGAATATTCAATTTAGTTTAATCAGGCACAAGTCCTTAACATTTTAAAATAAAACCATCAAAAAACATCAGTAATAACTAAACATATAAAAAAGCAGAGTACAAAAGTAATCACACATCCTAAATTTTATCCTGTATTTTACACAATGCATTTATTGCTAGAAACATTTCTTTCAATGACTGAAAATAACTGTTTCTATTTTAAGGATAATTGTAAAGTTTTCAGGCAGTTAATATATAATTAGAAAAGGAAAAAAATGTTTGTATAATTCCTACAATTACAACAGATAATTTATTTGGAATATGTTTCAATAGGGTGTTACATCTGTAAATGTTTCTTGCTTTTGATTTTATGTGCAATCAGGATATGTGTAAAAATATAAAGATCAAGAAATTTCAATTATTAAAAGTATAATACATGACAGAGAATTATTTTTAGAATGTACCTCTTGTTCTGATAAGTTTTATTCAAACTCGGCTATTCAAGGGAGTGCTTAAAAGTTTTTGGCTACACCAAGAAGAGATTTTGAAACAAAATCTGATGTTTGATCATCTGGTCAGATTTTGGAAAGTAGGTTGGGCTTAGAATTTTCAGTACTTCTTGTGCATGTGTATACATACGTACCTGTTCATATTAAATGAATAAAGCCATGAAGCCACATATTTTATATCTATTAAGAATTCAACTTCTAGCTTTCCTTAAATAATGATTATATCATGCCTAATCTAATGTAAAACGATATGCAGGTAGTATAACTTCTATCAGTGCAGAAAGTGAAATTGTTGAGCCATGTTCAAATTTCACCCTAATTTGTTGTGTTCACTTTGCACAAATGCCATAAGGAAAGGCATGAATCCATCTCTTCTCTCTCCACTTAGGAGTTAAATAGCAGAGTAGACAGGTTTTTCTAGCCAATCTTACCATTGCTGGTTTTTCCTTCTGCATAAAGATTTTTCTTTAAGATTAGATTTTCTGTTCTGTCTTAGACTGGTGGAGTCACTACTGTTTTTATCCTATCCATTTATGATTAGGGCTCTTCTCCAAAACTCTGTTTTCTAATTGAGGCCCTAAAAGTAACTAAGATCACATTGCTTGGACATTCCTACCGCCTGCCAGTCTCCCTCAATCTTATCCAGTGGTTCTCTGACCATTTTTCATGATGCAGAAGGAGAGAGGATGCTGTGCTCCAATATTTAGCTGAAGTGTATGAGGGGGAGGGGAGAGGTTGGACAAAGGTCATACAACTTATTGCACCATAACAACTATACTCAACAGTAATTTAATCAAAGTCTATGAAAGACTTGACAATCTTGTTTGGTTTCCTGTCAATCACAAAGACAGAAAATTCTTTTTCCAATGACCCTCAATTCAGGCAGATCCACCAGCAATCCATCCACCTTAATTAGTTTGGTGTACTGCTTGACTTGCTGCACAAAATCCACAATATCAATTAGTCATGATGGTGGGCATATTCAAGCATTTTGAGGAGTAGCCTCACTTGTTGCCTGGGTCTCATTTCCACAGCTTGGTTGTTTTCATTCTGTTTTTCTTTTGGCTCATTTTTTATTATTTTTTGTTCTTGCTTTGTTGTTTTTTTTCTATTTTTTGGGGTCTTTTTGTTCTTAAGTTCACATACTTTACACGCTATTTTCCTCTTTTCTAAGAGTCTGAAATATAGCTTTTACTTTCTTGATATACAAGTTAGCCATTAAGAGAGAGAGAGAAAGAGAGAGAGAGAGAGAAAAGAGAGAGAGAGAGAAAGAAAAGAGAAGAGAAAAGAAAAGAGAGAGAGAAAGAAAAAAAGAGAGAGAGAAAAGAGAGAAGAAAAAAGAGAGAAGAAAAAGAAAGAAAAAAAAGAGAGAGAGAGAAAGAGAGAGAGAGAAAGAGAGAGAGAAAGAGAGAGAGAGAGAAAGAGAGAGAGAGAGAGAGAGAGAGAGAGAGAGAGAGAGAAAAAGAGAGAGAGAAAAGAAAGAGAAAAGAGAGAGAGAGAAAAGAGAGAAAAGAGAGAGAGAAAAAGAGAGAGAGAAAAAAGAGAGAGAAAGAGAAAAAGAGAGAGAGAAAAAAGAGAGAAAAAAAAAGAGAGAAAAAAGAAGAGAAAAAAAGAGAGAAGAAAAAAAGAGAGAAAGAGAGAAAAGAGAGAAAAAAGAAAGAAAAAAAAAAAGAAAAGGAAAACGAAAAAAGAAAAGGAAAAAAAAAAAAAAAAAAGAAAAAAAAAAAAAAAAAAGAAAAAAAAAAAAAAAGAAAAGAAAGAAAGAAAAAAAAAAAAAAAAAGAAAAGAAAAAAAGACAAAGAAAAAAAAAAAAGAAAAAGAAAGAAAGAAAGAAAAAGAAAAGAAAATGAAAAGAAAAAAAAAAAAGAAAAGAAAAAAAAGAAAGAAAGAAGAATTCTGCCTTTTTGGTAATGCTGAAATAAATCTGCCTAACTATGACAGTCCAAGCAGATTTTTCAAAATCAGTCACAAAGCAAAAATATATCTGACTGCTACAAAACTAATAAATACAATTCCAAAAGACTGAGACAAAAAATATTTAGCTCATTTACAGAATCCCAGAGGAAGGGTCTCTTTTAAAGAAATGACAAAGGAAGTTTAACATTAACCATGATCAATTTGTGAAAAGCTAACACTGAAATTGTGATATATTCTTCAACAAAACTTGTTCGTTGAGAAATACAGAATATCTTTCAATCATCTGGCCAACATTCTACCTAAATTCAATAGAAGTAACCTTGAGAGTAAAAAAATTGTTTATACAGAAAAAAATATCCTGTTTAAATGATAGTGAATGAAGTGTATCTTTTAGGTTTCAACTATGTAAATTTTCATTTGGATCCACTGAAGAAACCCAAGCATTACCTTCTTCAAAACAATATTTGTTCTACTATCATTTGCCAACTTGTAGTTTTTGTGGTTAAAATTGTCATAAAAATTTATAAATTTTGATTTGTCCATCATGATAGTCATCCCAACATTGCATTCCAATTTTATATATTAACCATCCCAATTAAAAATAGAAACAAATATTCCAAGTAATTCTTTTTGCTTTGGCAGTTCCCGGCTTTATGTTCTTGTTTGGCACATGCATAAAATTGATTCTTAATTTTGAATCTGGTTATTTGTTCCTATTCGCTAGTTTTCTTCATGATCTTCTCAAAAATTTTTTCCATCTTAAAACTTCTTAGAGATACTTTGAATTCACTGTGAAAGATTTTTTCTTTTTGTATAATATTAGTAAATGGTTTAAATTCTGACAAACATCTTTAAAATGTGGTTATTAATATTAATTTAATAATTGATTATTTCCCTTAATGTTGAAGTGGCAGCATTTTCTGTTCTTAACCCATCATCAGTAATGCTTTCTAATTAATTTCCTCAAAGTTAATTCTATGTGTAATGAATTGATTTTGTGTTTTCCTTTAGATGAATAGTGTTCCCTCAAGATTTCCAGTGCCTTTCTACTATTGTCCTTCACATCAAAGAGGACCAGGGAAAGATTTCCATCACCTTGGTTGGCAGAATAGGGGTTATGGAGAAATAGCAAAAAGACAAAATTTACTAAGCACGACAAAGGACAGGAAATTGTGAAGAGGCACAATTGCCAACATCCTGAAGGTGCATGGCACATAGATCATTTGGAACAATACAGCAAAAAATTATGTGCATACAATAAGGCTTCTTCTATTTTAGAAGACAATACTTTATACATAATTTGCATATGTGGTAATATGCGTTTATATTCTAATGTGTATATTTATAAATAGAATCATTTTAAAAAGATTAATCAACAAGAGTGTCAGTTTCACTAGCCTTAATAAAATATCTGCTAAATAAAATGTCAGTATTAAGTATTACTGGAAATAATATGATTGATTTTTATCATCTGAAGGAATAACAAAAAGTTTTAATATCTGTTTAAGAGATTAACATTATGGTTCATTAGAATTTCCAAATATTTATCTACATGTAAAAATATTTTCAAAAAGCAAAATATGCAACTAAAATTGGTTTCAATTCCCATTACGAAGCAGATATTGTTTGTTTATACATGCAAATAAGGTAGATATCTGAGATATTTCATGGCAACAGCAAGAAATTTATATCTATAAAACAGATGTCAGAGTGTGTGTGCATGTGTGTGCGCATGCGTCTGTATGTTATTTATGCACATCCACATTTCTCAACTGATTTTGATGAAATTGTACACACATGTTGCAAATTTGCGAAGATAGGTCAAGACCAACTTTTCAACCTCCAAGCACCCCAGGTAATGCAAAAAAAAAAAATAAATAAATAAATAAAAAAAAAAAAAAATAATCAATGAAACTGAAGGTGGGTACAACTTTTTGCAAAATCTAAGGCAAAGTTACACGCAAACAAAATGAGCTGATGTTCTTTGCACTTAATGAAAAACATAGCTCATGTTATGAGGTTTATGTAGAGTACTTGATAGTTTTCCTGCAACATTGGCTGCACACAAAAAATTGCAAAAAAAATGAAAAAAAAAAAAAAAAAAATCAGGGTTTTCGTACTACTTAAAATATAAACTTGAATAACTTACTCATTTTTTATCCAATTTTCTTCAAACATGTCACAAAAAAATTGCCATCATGTAAGAAATAAGATAGTGTGTTTTAGTACTGATCACATCCCTGCATATAACAAAAAACTGTTCAAAAAGCCTGTTTTTCGGTCATAAGTCCCTGGTTTTTCATCTGATGCTTTCCAAATTTGCCATGTAAATTACATATGACACACAAATTGTCTTGCATGAATGGTTTAAATTATTTAAGTGGACAAAATCTCTGACAAACTAGGTCTAAAATCGTTTGCCATTTAGCCAATAGTTTCTTCGTATGATTCGATCCTAAATTGGCATTCGGCAAAGCTTTGTTGCAAAGATTGTTTGAGAAGGATTATTGAAGCATTAAAAAGGGAAAATTTCCCAAAGAACCTCTTATAAACCACAGCTTTACAGTAAAAGTATGAAGGAGGCAGGAGGGGGCATTCATGCACTTGCACTTGCTGTTGAGTTAAGCTCTGACGCTTCATACCTGTTTTTGTTTGATTATTAGGATTTGTGAACAATGCCATACTATTTGAAAGTTACTATGGCCATAGGAAATTTACTGAATATCTAAAACATCAATATAATTGAACCCTAAACAACAATCACACAAGGTTTTATCAATAGAATTCTTAATAAGAACAATCAAAGGACATTCTGTATAAAAGATAAGGGGGGGGAGTAGCTTAGCATACCAATGGGTGATGCATGCAAGTGGGGACACAGGCAAACATTTCTACACACGGGGGTGCAGGTATACAGGGGGTGCAGTTATACAATTGCAACCATGTACACCTGTGAAACACCGAGTACCTCAGCTAGTAATTTATAAGCATGGAAAGACCTGTAAGACTAAAATCCAAGGTTAGGTTAACACTGGCCAAGCTGAAGAGAAACAGTGCATCAGGACCAGATGAGATGTAATATAGATGTTAATAGCATTAGATGGTTTTAGAAATATGTTATCAAAATAATAAAATATATGACAAATGTGAAATGCTAAAGGACTTCTGTGGCCAATCTTCAGGGTTGCAAAAGAATTTCTTGTGGAGTACCGGAGCACCCCCAAAAGATGAACTGACCTAAAAAGATAAATAGTACGCTCTCTTACTGAGTAAGTGGAAGTTGAATAGAACTGAGGTGAAGTTCACGATTAATGGTTATTCAGTAGACTGTTTTCTCGACTGTTAGTACCAAATTATTCTTTGGAATAAATTACTACTACTTTTTATATGTGTATTAACTTATCCATTTCATAATACAACATTTGGCAATGAGGGATTCAAAATTTACAGCAGATATCAACATTTGACAATGAAAAATTTGAATGTTAATAGCAACATGGACTGAGGATTTGAGTGTAAAAATTTATAGTCATATACCAAGAAATTATTTGTAGACTAATCAACTTTGGATTAATTCCAAGTCAGACGTGTAAAAATAAGTAAGAAATTTGCCTGGTGTTCAGTTAAATTTTGTCTCTATAAAAAAACATGGAGGATTTTAAAGAAGCAATGTTGGAATTCATGAGAATCTACCAGAAACAAGATGAACAGTTGGAGGAACAACAACATTTGGACCAGGAATGGTTAAAAAAGTGTTTAAATTGTTAGAGTTAAACAAAAAAAAGGAAAAGAGCAAGGCAATACAAATTCCTTTTCTCAGGATTCAGTAATAAATGTAATTGGCAAATTTCAGTACAGTCCTGAGGAAGAGGTAACTTTTGCAGTGTATTTTCACAGTTATGAAGCTGTCTTTCATAAAGATTGTGCTACCATGGTAAGATGAAAAGAAAATATGTGTGTTGCTCGGAAAATCTGGTCCAAATGAACCTGTTCACTATGGATTGAATCGAGTCATTTGACCTTCTCAACCAACCAATTTAGGACATCACACACCGCCCACAGTCACTAGGCATGTCTGTGGTTGAGCCCTATGGTCAGCCTTGGAGTTAGTTGCTATGATTGTCAATCCCACCCTGCTCACATTGTGTTTTAGATCACAAGGTGGGTGAAGGCCGAGTCATATACCCAATGTCATTGATTTGTTTGTTTTGGTTTGGTTTATGGCATATCAACCTGAATGGGTTATTTAATGCCGACAAAATTTTTATTGCTGGTAATTTTTTTTTCTTCAAAAATCTATTGCAGGTAATTTTTTTTCTTCAAAAATGCATTGCTGGTAATAATTTTTTCCTTTATAAAAATGTTACTGGTAAAATATTTTCTAAAAGATGTATTTCTGGTAATAATTTTTCCTCCAAAAATGTATTGCTGATATTAATACCTATTTTTACACCTCCACAGTGTTTTGACACCAGATTGGAGGGTCAACTATTTGCACATAGCTGGGACTAACAGGTGCTTCCACCCTGGATTAGGATGGACCTGGGAACACCAGCAATTAAAAGGTGGTTCCACTCTCCTCAAAACCTCCTGATCAGAGGCCTTGCTGTTAGATATAATTTAATGTCATACCCAAGAGGCAAATGTAGTTTATCGTCATACCCAGGACAACATAGTCATTGATCCGGCAGTTTTGGCGAGATGACACCACAAGGAACAAAGTAAGAGACGGCTGTGTAACACAACTTTATATTGAAGGTTCATACAATGAAAGTTCTACTCATAAATTAACAACATGCAGATTTTCAGCACCTTCCTTCTTAATACCCCATGACACTATGTTTAGCCACACTCAGTAAACTGGCACAAAGCTGAAAATTTCTTCGGGTTGACCCTTCAGTTGCATCTTGTAGTCTTGAACATGGCCAGAGTCTATGTTCTTTCTGCAGAAGTCATGTGGGGTAAAGGCAAAGTGGGTCTTGAACCAAATGACAACATGCTTCTCTTGCAAACAGCACCCCAAACTGTCTGGTTTTCTCTGTCTCTTGCTCCACTTGTCTGTATTTATGGACCCTCATGCAAACCTGGCATGGGGCATGAGATGTTGGGATTTCCCAGGGAAACCCCAACATCTATACAGAGTCTTTCATTGTCAGGTCTTGGGAAATTGATTGCCTTAGCAAATTT